GCATTTTATGTATGAGAAATAATGCTGGATTGAGTCGAAAGTAAAACATTTGAAATCCACTACTGATACAGGCCAGTTTTTTAATTGTTTCTTTCTTTAGTATGAAACTTCACTTAAATGCATTAATTCATTCAAAGTGTAAACAAAGAGCAAATAAAACTTAATAGATATGGAAATGGCAACCCACTCCAGTATTCTTGCCTGGAGAATTCCAGGAACAGAGGGACCTGGTAGGCTACAGTCTGTGGGATCGCAAAGAGTCGGACACGACTCACAACACACACACTATGCCAGACTCTGCACTTGACACTGGTCAAGAAAGACACAGTCCTGTAGTCAAGACCCTACAAAAGAAAGGCAATTTAATCAATGATTATATAAAAATATGGTAACACTGATACATATACTCATTGATGATAACAATGGAGCCAATGTAGATTGAATAATATTAACAATGGAGTCAATATAGATTGGATTCTCACTGTGATGTAGGCGCTAGGATAAGTGCTTCACATGCTTTACCTAATTTTATCCTTATAACCATCCTATACAGTAGGTACAATTATTATCCCCACTGTACTGATAAGGAACTTGGACCTGGAAAGAAAGTTGTCCAAAATGACAGTCAGAGAGGAGTGGAGCTAGGATTTGAATCCGGTTTGTGGATAGAATGTAGTTCTAATCTCAGAGCCCATTCTTAATCTCTCTGCCTTCATCTGCCGCAACAGAGGCAGCCTCACACCCAAAACCTCCCTTGCAAGGTTCTCACTTGAAACTGGAGATGCATGAGGGTTTTTTTTTAAATGAAAGTCAGTATCAAAATATTTGAAATGTTGCTACTGTTAGGAACAAGCTCATTTCATTTGTTGAAAGTGAAGTGAAAGTGTTAGTCACTCAGTTGTGTCCAACTCTGCAATCCCAAGGACTATAGCCCACCAGGCTCCTCTGTCCATGGAATTCTCCAGGCAAGAATACTGGAATGGGTAGCCATTCCCTTCTTCAGGGGGTCTTCCCAACTCAGGGATCAAACCTGGATCTCCTGCGTTACAAGCAGATTCTTTATCCTCTGAGACATCGGGGAAAGTTTCAAGTAAAGGATGAAGCTCTTCAGTTCAGTCACTCAGTCATGTCCAACTCTTTGCGACCTCACGGACTGCAGCATACCAGGCTTCCCTGTCCATCACCAACACCCAGAGCTTGCTCAAACTTATGTCCATCGAGTCGGTGATACCATCCAACCATCTTATCTTCTGTTGTCCCCTTCTCTTCCTGCCTTCAATCTTTCCCAGCATCAGGGTCTTTTCCAATGAGTCAGTTCTTTGCATCAGGTGGCCAAAGTATTGGCATTTCAGCTTTGGCATCAGTCCTTCCAATGAATACTCAGGACTGATTTCCTTTAGGATTGACTGGTTGCATCTCCTTGCAGTCCAAAGGACTCTCAAGAGTCTTTTCCAACACCACAGTTCAAAAGCATCAATTCTCTGGCACTCACCTTTATGGTCCAACTCTTACATCCATGCATGACTACTGGAAAAACCATAGCTTTGACTAGATGGGCCTTTCTCAACAAAGTAATGTCTCTGCTATTTAATATGCTGTCTTGGTTTGTCATAGCTTTTCTTCCAAAGAGCAAATATCTTTTAATTCCATGGCTGCAGTCACCATCACAGTGATTTTGGAGCCTAAGGAAATAAAGTCTGTCATTGTTTCCATTGTTTCCCCATCTGTTTGCCATGAAATGATGGGACCAGATGTCATGATCATCGTTTTTTGAATGTTGAGTTTTAAATGAGCTTTTTCACTCTCCTCTTCACCATCACCAAGAGGCTCTTTAGTTCCTCTTTGCTTTCTGCCATAAGGGTGGTGTCATCTGCATATCTGAGGTTATTGATATTTTTCTCAGCAGTCTTGATTCCAGCTTGAGCTTCATCCAGCCTATCATTTTGCATGATATACTTCGCATATAAGTTAAATAAGCAAGGTGACAATATACAGCCTTGACGTTTTCCTTTCCCAATTTGGAACCAGTCTGTGGTTTCTGTTTCTTCTTGACCTGCATATTGTTTTGCTACCATCTTATTTTATAAACAAATTCATAAAGAAAAATAATTATTTTCATTGGAAGAAACTGAATTAATCCAGTTTAGTGAAGCTGTTATAAGCTGAATCCAGTATACAGCCATCTGAGGAAGCATTATCATATGACTATGATTGATAAAGGAATTAAAGGCAGTGATGCGGGCTCTAGAGAGAAAATCAAAAAGTGATCTTTAGTCTTAACTACCTTGCTGGTGCTAAAAGAGTGAGAGAGTAAGGTAAACAACAAAACATCACATCAGGGACTTTTAGGCACACGAATAATTTTTCTATGTGCCACTTTCAAAACTGCCTTTCCTATTATTGAACATTGTGGCATAGTGATAAAGAATCCGCCTGCCAATGCAGGCGACACAAGAGATGTAGGTTCGATCTTTGAGTCGGGACAATCCCCTGGAGTAGGAAATGGCAACCCCGAAAATTCCATGGACAGAGGAACCTGGCAGGCTACAGTCCATGGGATCCCAAAGAGTCAGACAACTGAGCACACACACACCACACAGCCATCTTATAACTCTTTATTATAACATTGCAACTTTATAGGCTGTCTGGATCCTTTTCCTATTTTCTTCCAGCTTCCAATTAATTTTTTTTTTTTACCAGTTTCTCCCAGTTTTAGTGAAGTGAAAGTATTAGTCACTCAGTAGTGTCTGATTCTGTGACCCCAAAGACTATAATCCACCAGGCTCCTCTGTCCATGGAATTCTCCAGGCAAGAATACTGGAATGGGTAGCCATTCCCTTTTCCAGGGAATCTTCTCGACCCAGGGATCAAACCTGGGTCTCCTGCATTTCGGGCAGATTCTTTACCATCTGAGCCACCAAGGAAGCCTGGTTGTTTTAGACTATGAGCATAAAAAAACAAAATAAGAAAATCAAATCTGGCATGGCAGAGTATCTCTTTGACAAGCGCACCCTGGGAAACAGTGATAATGAAAGCCAAACCTCCTCAGCCTGGCTTCCTATAGCCACAGGGGTGATGTCCCTAGTCACCAAGGCAGTACCTGCATATTTGCACTGCACCTTTTCTATAAGTTGTACCAAAATGTCTACTTAAGTTCTTTCCTTAGTACCATTCCCTCAAATAAAGTAATTGGTACCCGTCCCCCCAAAAGGAAAATCAAATTGATTCTTTTTTCCAAATGGATGTGTAATTGGGAAGGGTTAATTTTAAATCCATACTGGCTCTGCTTCTGTGACTTTAACTCTTATTTTGCTGCTTTTGTTATTATAGGCATGCTTAATGGCCTGCCTCAGGGAGCCCTGCCTGCCCCTTCTCCTCCTGACCCTTGGGCTAGGATGCCTTTGTTTGATTCACAGGGAGAGGGCCTGACCCTACCCACCTATGAAGGACTGTGACTTTCTTGCGTTCTTTGTGTGGGAAACGGCGCCCCTCATCTGCTGCTTACTAGAGTGGCTCAGAAGTTCATATTTGGAGAGCTGGAATTGCAGATAGCTGTGGCATCTTTGTTGATATAATAGCAGATATTCCATTTCATACCACCAGTGAAATGACTGTAAGGAAGTGAAACCCACACATCCCCCTGCCTGAGGCTTGCCATTCTAGGAGACATTTGCAAGAATTAAATGGTCTTTTTTACTTTGTGTCCTAACCTCCCCCCATCTCTGATCCAAAGAAGAACCTGGCATCCAGGCCCTGACAAGATGGTTATTTCAAGCCATTAGTCTGCCATCTTTTGGGTCAAATGGCTCTCCAAAGTTGTATTCCTTGCCTCAAGATCTCAACACCTGGATTTATTAGCCTATAGTCAATGAGCAGAGTGAGCTTGGACTGGGTAACAGATGCAGGATGTGGTCAAGACTAGGACAACAGCCATCAACTACAATGAGAATCAGCATGCCATAAGTGCATTGTATTATTTTTTTCTATCTATACCTCTGGTTCTCCACTGAGACTATTCAGTCTTTGGTAGTAAGGACAATATGTTTTCATTTCTGTTTCCTCAGTACATAGTTCAATGTTTGATTCAGAGAAGGCATAGAAGAAACTAGTGGAAGAATGAAGGAGTGAATGAATGAATGAAACAACAGAAATGACAGCACTCACATTGTTACCATGGCAATACTCATAGTGTTACCTCCCTCTCTACCACTGACTACTCAAGTAATTCCATAATAACTACTCAAGAAGGCCCAAAAGGTATAATTTTTTTAAAAAACATATGCAAATTCTCAGAGAAGTTGTATACACCAATATTTTCTTTCTTTTTCCCCACAAAACTCTGAGTTGTCAAGCAGTAGTTTAGAAACATAACACTATATATCCATTCCTGCTTGGTTTTGGTTTTAGATTAGTGGAGAAAGAATGAAAGGGTATACTATTTCTTTCTATCCAGGGATAATCTAGTCTTGCAAAGATAGTTACCAAAGTCAATAACAATTCCTACTCAGAAGACAAATAGTGTCTGAATTGGATTAAGGTGAAACGAAAGTGCCTGCTGCAGCGGTGTCAGCGAGGTACTCGGTGTTTATGGCTTCATTACAACCTTAAGTGGTGTATCTATATTTCTCCTGTGTTTAATGAAGCCACAAACAACCAACTCTTTATTGAGTGATACTGGAGAGTTTTTTGCTTTTAACTTGATGTATTTCAGTTCGTGATTAACTAGCTCTCCCACATCAGCTAACTCGGACGGGTGCTTTAGAGACCATTAGCTAAATGTTCCTCTGAGTTAGCCACAGAATCAAGAAAAAGGATAAGGAGAATCAATAAGACCAAGCCAGAGTGGAAGAGAACATTCATCTTCCATCAAGATCATTGGTGGACTCACCAAGCTGCCTGTCGCGAGAGAAAACGACTCTGCTCTCTCTCTCTCTCCCTCTCACCCCTGTGTACGTAGTTCGGCTCTGGCTGCTAAGTGACTCGCCTGTTGTGTTGTTCAGTTTTCAGGACTGTATCTCCTGTCTTTCTTCACCATCCTCCTCGGGCTGGTGCTCTACTCATCCACCTCCACGTACATAGCCCAGGACCCCCGGGTTTACAAGCAGTTCCGCAACCCTTCGGGACCCGTCGTGGACTTACCAGCCACAGCTCAGGTGGAGCCTTCAGTCACCTACACCAGCCTGGGCCAGGAGACCGAAGATGAGCCCCGCGTGCGCGTGGCCTAGGATGACAGCCTCCCTGACCCCTGAGGACACCTCCGCAGCTGTGTGTCCGCCCGTCATCTCTGTTTTGTACATAGAGAAAGGTATTTATTAGGTGCGGTTTACAGAGGTGGACTGCAAGGTAGCAAATCCGAAAGCCTGTAAGAGGCACACGCTGAACATCCCTGGAGATGCAGGCTCTGATCCGCCTGGAGGGATGCCTGCCTAGTGTGTATCCTGGTCACACACACACATACACCACCACCCCCGTCCACATTAATTACTGTGAAAATGTTTGAATCAAAAGCAAGTATTACTGTTTGTATGATATGGTTACTGTTATGATAGCGACTTTCAGGAGGAGGTTTTGTACTCCTGATGGGAACTCTCGCCAGACCCACATGTAGTTAGCATCACTCCCACTTTTCTATGGCAAGTCACTTTTTAAGAATCACACTTTATTTTTGTGCACCTTCTCTGAGTGCCGCATGCCACAGGAGCCCCACACTGCGACGCTTCCTTATCCTAGGCACCTGGGGGCTCATGGCTCCCTCTGTTACCTGTTAGATCGCCTGCTCAATATGTATTTCGTGCTGTGACCCTTGTGGGGAGTGGCAACTGACCATATAATTCTCTATTCTAGGAATAGATATAAAACAAACATTTTAGCCTTTTTATATTTCAACCTCGGATTATTCCAGGCCATTGCCTTTCTGTTGCAACACATGATTCTGCTAATCAAGTCCCTGTAATAACAGGATAAGGAATGTTCCATTTCTGTGGCTTATGGGAAACCCCAGAGTAATATCACTTGTGCTTAGGGTAATATCTTTTTTTTTTTTAATCTTTCTGCCCCTTCCTATGTTCCCTCTTCCCCAAAAAAAACATTAATTTTCCCTTTCCCCCTAGATTTCTTTAGTGATAATATGGAGATCAATCAAGGCATTGGAAAAAGCCATGGTCCTCTGCCCTTTTGTGTGACACCCTTTTTGAAATATACCAGCATGGAAATTATCTTGATTGTGGGATATCATTGGTTGTCTGGCCTCCCAACAAAGTCAGGATGCTGCTGTGGTACCGCCTCTGACAACAGCTCATCTGATACGGCCACTGTGTAGTAGTAAAAATCTCACCAATGAAAAAGTCTGGCATGTTTGGTCATATTTGGCATCCATTCGATAGCAGAATGTATCAACATAGCATTCTTATGGATACAGAGAATATTCCAGGGTCCTGATAAGGCTTTGAGGAGTATGTCACTAATCTAATTTTGTCGCCTTTATTATAGCTCTTTCTTCAAACATAGAAAATCGAGAAACACCACAGAGCTCTGTGATTGACAGCAGATTCTCTTTCTTCCTATCAGCACATGTAATAGTCTTTATGTTTGGCTGGCTTCAGTATCATTCAGAAAGATCCTCGATAGAGTTACAGGATTTGTAAAGGAAAAACAAATGTTTGTGAAACTTTGGGCAATTCAAATCAGTTCAAGTTAAGTAAGCAAAGCAAAACCCCAGTGGGGTCTCTGTAAGGTAGAGAACAGATTGCATCTTAGTCAGGATTCCCATACTAGCCTGAACAAGGAAGGCCTAAATAGACCTGCAGAAGTGTCCCATGCTGTGAGTCAGCACCCACGTGGCGCCTCTGTCTGCCCTGTACCCCGGGGGACAGGTAGTCAGTCCTGCCTTGGAGTTGGAGCAGACAAGTTATCTTTCCTGATATGCAAATTTGATGCTTATCTCCATTCAGCCCTCTTAGAAGCCTGTTTTATTTCTGGTGAAAAAAAATCAACATTAAAGCTGTATCAAATCAAAAGAACTTTGTCAATGTTTGCTCTCCGCTACCTTTCAAACCAATTAAATACCTTTCTCTGACTATTTTGTCCATTCAGATTTGAAGACCTTTAAAGACTGTGGTTTTATTTTTGTGTTTACATTCCTTTGGTTTGCATAATTTGTTTGATTTATTGCATTTTTAGTATTTATTTTCAGCCAAATATTTTCATCTTTTTTTATTCATTTTTATGACACTCATTTGTAGACGGTTAGTAAAATCTTAAGAGAAATAAGTGGATGAAAGTATTTCCAAGTCAACTCAGTGGATGCAAGTTTTTTTTTAAATTTCAAAGAGGTTTGCAATCAACGGATGGCTACAGGTTGCCGTGTGAATTATTTTCTAGGATATTTTAATTGACTCCAAATTGTATGGAAACCAGGCGTGAATGTTAAGGTGAATTCACTGTATACCCTTTACCACCCCATGTCCTCGTACACAAGACTTTCATTTCACTGGGGTGCCTCACTGTGTTGGTTCTTCTCCATTTAGAAAGGCTGATAACATACTCGAATTGTCCGAGATTCATCCCATGAATCAGGAGTTCCAGATTGACCTTTTGGGGGGAAAAAGACAATAGCAAGAAACAAACTCTTTCTCTGTGTTAAGCCATCAACCCTTTGGGAGTGGGGTAGGACATGGGAGTAGGACGTCATTATCTCTAGCTGTTTGAGTTTCTGGAATTTCATAACCTCAGTAGACACCAGCAAGAATTTCAGCTTTTCAATCTACCATAACTCTCTCTTCCACAAGTGAGACTTTAGCAATTTGTATAGCATTTGGTTGGGTAAGCAAACCCTAGCTCTCCTAAATCTCGCTCGAGATAAGTGGTGGTCCTCACGTACTCCATGACAACTTGCACTGGGGCGAGCACTCACCTTGGTCACACCTTCCCACAGCTCCACACTCTGAAATACACAACCAGGTAGACCAAGCAATGGGAAAATTTGTACCACTGTGTCCCATGAAAATGTTTCAATGTTTAGTTTAGATATTGCTAACTTGTGCTATTAACCTTTTGACAAGCGTGTAGTATTGCTCGTTTTGGGTTTGTTTTTGATTTGTAACCACTTAGTAGTCCCCAGATAGCTACCAGTACAGATTTTTACCCCATGGGTAGGATTCTACTGTCAAGCCACATAAATAACAAGCACACTAATCCCAACGCTGCAAAAGGAAAATATGAACCAAAAAAGGAAATTGACACCAATAAGTTGAACAAACTCTCCATTTTTGATATTTGCATGCTCCCCTATGGACTGGCTGTGGCAATGTAATGCCTGTATAATGTTTTCAAATAAAAATAAATGCTTTATGAAAGCACCAAGTTCTTGGTTTTCTTGAGTGTTTGTCTGCTCTATGACAACCGGGGAAGCAGCTCTCATGGGATGCTAGAAATAGCAACGAAAGTAGATAGCAGGGTACATGTCAAAACAAAAATCAGAAAGAAAATATTTCCAAATAAGGAAGGGCACAGTTGGTCTCAGAGCTGTGGCTTCAAAAAGCCAAATTAAACACGTTTGTAATTTGCAAAATTAATTATTTGATGGGTACGTAAGGAGACCATGGCTACAAACTCTAAACCCACATTTAAAACGTACGTAGGGCAATTATAAATTTACCCTCAAGAAACTGTTTCTCATAAAGAAGAAAGTTCTTTGTATGCCACCCTCGGCACAATGCCAGGCATAAAGAGAGAGCACGACATTTATAAAGCAGGGCTGTTTATGTTTCTGCTCTGAACTTAACACAGTATTGTCATGGTTACTTCTCCACTAACTGTTCTTGCTATTTAGTCGCTAAGTCATGTCCCACTCTTGTGACCCCACGGACTCTGTAGCCCTCTAGGCTCCTCTGTCCATGGGATTTCCCAGGCAAGAATACTGGAGTGGGTTGCCATGTCCTTCTCCACCACTAACTGTAGTCATCCAATAACTCTTAAATACTTAGAGATGATGGTATATAAATTTACACTGTTTTGTCATTTATGTTCATAATCAGATCTCAAAAATTAAATGAGCTGAAAGACTGTATGTCCCACTTATACATTTAAAATCTTTTTAAAAGAAAAACTCATTTGCAGGAAAAAAGGAACAGTCGCATACAGCCTTTATAAAGGACTCTTAAGTAGAGATCCATTGTCATCTGCTTCTATAAATAGTATAGTACAAAACAGTGCTTAACAAAAACAATGTGACTCAGTTTAAAAATAGCTTTTTCCTTGAGAAATATAACTCTTTCTATAAAGTATGGTTTATTTTTATTTAGTAAACTCTTTGATCAAAGATGAAATACAGTTGAACTTCAGTCTAGTCTATGTCTAAATGTCCAGCAAATCTAAATGATTAGAGTCCAAATAGTATACACAATAAACATGTATCTCATGTTAAGACTGTGTTCCCATTGAATTATAATTTTCTTAAGAGAAGGAACTCGGCTACCTAAATGCTTGGAAGTTCTTAGAAAAGGAAGATAAGGCTGTACTTGAATGAGTTTTGTGATGATTAGCATGAAGGGAGAAACAAGTCAAATTCAGCACAGGACCTGTTAAGTGTTACATTCTCTTGATGTTTCATAGGAAGACAGATTGTAACATCTGCAATAAGGCAGGACTGGAATCAGATCCAGCTAATCTCTTTTCAGGTCCCCCATGCAAAACAGGGAAGTCTCTCATACATCTTTTTTTTTTTAATGGCATCCTACTCCTAAATCAAAAACAGAAAGTACAAGGGTAAGATGTGTATTACAAAATGTTCCCCCTTTTCCTTCTACTTCTGTTAAGCACTTTTTTGGGTAAAATTCCTATTCCTGGAAAAGCAGAAATTATGAGATTCACTTAAATCACCCTTGAATTTTTTAACAAACCTTTAAAATGTTAGGCTGTTCCTTCAGGGTGACTTTGGGATAAAAAACACAGTGAAACTCGTTTTTCCCTTGCAAATAGTGTCTTTGAATTCATAACATTGCTTCTTAATTTTGTTCATTGTTCTTTTTTTCTTCTCTTCCTTTTTACTTTGATTTCTTTTTTTAATCCTGCAAACATAAACAGAGGGTTCGCTATGGGCCACCTACTCAGTCTCTGCCCTTTATTCTTTATGTGGTCAGAAATGTTTAATTCAAAAAAAATTATAATACAGCTGGAAAGCCCCACACCTACCAGATGGTCTTTCATTAGTGCCTGAAAGGACAAG